ATGGAATCTCCATTGAGTGATTATGCATTTACTTCTCTTTGGATGAGTTTTTGCAGAGGCTTTCCCCTGCAGGGAGAGGCTTGCCCCTGTCTGGTGCTAAGGCATGCCCATTTCTGTGGTTCACAGTAGCAAGTCTATTTGCTTGGTTGACTCCTGATATTTTATTTTATTATTTCTTTTGTTTCTCATCTTGTTCATAATTTAACCAGGAAAGGGTTATTTGTTATCTACATGTATAGAAAAAAGTCTACAAAGAGGGCTGGGGATATAGCTCAGTTGGCAAAGTGCTTGCCTTGCATGCATAAGACCCTGGGTTCAAATCCTGGCACCCCCCCCCCTCCAAAAAAAAGGAAGTCTACAAAGATATATCATGATTTTAAAAGGGACTGGTTGATGTTTTTTTCTTATTTTTTTGAATTCATAAAATATGTAATTAAGACATAATTAAGATGGATACAGTGCCATATTCCTGTATTCTCAGCTACTCAGGAGATTGAGGCAAGAGGATTGCAAGTTCCAGGCCAGTATGGGAAACTTTGACCTATGCCAAAATAAAATAAAAAGGGCTGGGAATGTAGTAGCTTAGTAGAAAAACACCTCTAGTTCAATCCTCAGTACAGGGGAGTGGGGTGGGGTGGGGAAGCATTTAAAACCTTTAAAAAATATAATCAGGTCTGATTTTCCATGTAGAATTCTTCTCTTTACAGGAAATAAGCTGGACCTGATATTCTTCTACCTTTATAATTGGTACTTGGGTCTAAAACTTAAAAGAGGCAAGAATATATTACTTTTCCAATATTATGGATTTGCCATTTCATCATGTTAAAATAATATGTGTTTTTGCATTCTGTCCATAGTGTTAGGCCATTTGCATGGTTTTTTAAAAAGTGAGTTCCAACATTTAACTGAAGTTAACTGATTTCTCTTTCCTTCTTGGAAAATAGAGCTGTTCTCTAAGCTTCTTTTTCTTTTTAAAATTGGATACCAATATGTAGAAAAATGAAAGTAGATCCCTATCTGTCACCCTGCACAAAACTCAAATTGAAATGGATAGAAGACTTAGGAATTAGACCAGAAACCTTACAAGTGCTAGAAGAAATCATAAGTTCAACATTCCCTTATATGTGTTGGCACCGACTTCCTTAACAAGACCCCCAAAGCACAAATAAAACCAGGAATTAATAAGTGAGATACCATCAAGCTAAAAAACTTCTGCACAGCAAGGAAAACAATTAAGAGCATGAAGAGAGAGCTTACAGAATGGAAGAAAATCTTGGCCAGCTACTCCTCCAATAGGGGATTGATATTCGTTATAAAAAGAACTCAAAAAACTTAACACCAAAATATATATAACCTAATCAATAAATGGGCAAAAAATTAAACAGAAACTTCTCAAAAGAAGAAACACAAATGGCCATCAAATATATGAAAAAATATTCAACATCTCTAGTAATCAGGGAAATGCAAATCAAAGCTATGCTTAAGATTTCATCTCACTCCAGTCTGAATGGCATTGATAAAGAACATAAACAATAATAAATGCTGATGAGGTTGTGGGGGAAAAGGTATACTTGATGGGATGATGGACTAATACAACCACTCTGGAAAGCAGTATGAAAATTCCTCAAAAAACTAGGGCTGGGGACTGGGGTTGTGGCTCAGTGGTAGAGCCACTTGTCTTGCATGCGTGAGGCACTGAGTTTGATCCTTAGCACCACATAAATAAATAAAATGAAGATATTGTGCCCATCTACAACTAAAAAAAAAAAATCTTAAAAAAAAGAAATGGCAAGACTTGATTTAAAAAAAAAAAAATTAGGGATGGAACCACCATATGACCCAGCCATCCCACTCCTTGATATTTTCCCAAATGATCTAAAATTGGCATACTATAGCAATACAGCCACTTCAATGTTTATAGCAGCACAATTCACAATAGCTAAATTATGGAATCAACTCAGATGTCCATCAGTAGATAAATGGATTAAGAAATGGTGATGTGTGTGTATGTGTGTATAGTTTCTACTTAGCCATAAAAAGAATGAAATTATGGCATTTGTTGGTAAATGGATGGAAATGGAGAATAACATGCTTAGTGAAATAAGCCAAGCTAAAAACTAAACTCAAGGGTCAAATGTTTTCTTTCATATGCGGAAGCTAGGGTAAAATAAAGTGGGGGGGAGGGAAGAATAGGATAACAAAGGGAAGATCAATATTGTAGAAGGGGGAGATGGAAAGGCAGAGCAGAGGGGAAGCAATGCAGAATGAATTCTTTTTTTTTTTTTTTTTTTTTTTTTGAGAGAGAGAATTTTTTAATATTTATTTTTTAGTTTTTCGGCGGACACAACATCTTTGTTTGTATGTGGTGCTGAGGATCGAACCCGGGCCGCACGCATGCCAGGCGAGCGCGCTACTGCTTGAGCCACCTCCCCAGCCCGCAGAATGAATTCTTAAAAAATCATGTGTATATATATAAATATACCACAGGGAACTTCACTTTTATGCATAGGTAGAAAGAACCAATCAAATATAAATTAATAGTTAATAGACAAGTGAAAGGGCGTCTAGTAGAGTAGAGGAAGGAGAATGGGAGAAGGGAGGGAAAAGAAACAGTGGGATCATGAACTGAAATCAAATTTAGTGCATATATGAATTTGTCAGGATGAACCCAGCTACTATGTATAACTATAAAGCTCTAATAAAAAAATTTTTCCTTGCCATAAAAAAGAACATTATTCTGGATTCATATATTCTTCCTATGTATTTGTGTGTGTGTGTGTGTGTAGGTTTTACTGTGTTTGAAATTACAGGATATATTAGTTTAGAGGGGAAAATGCATATATATATTATTTTTTTTCTTTGTAGTGCTGGGATGGAACCCAGGGCCTCAGGTGCACCTCTGTACTCCCAGCACATAAAATTCTTTAGGGTGTTACCATATATATGTGTCTGTGTCTGTATATCTCTTAATTGTTGTTTGCTTTTTGGTATTGGAGGTTGAACCCGGTGATGCTCTACCACTGAGCTATATTTATATTCTTAGCCTTGTTATTTATTTATTTTTTTGAGGGTTTCACTAAGTTGTGGAGACTAGCCTCAAACTTGTGATCCTCCTGCCTCAGCCTTTCATGACATTGGGATTGCCACCTATATGCCGCTGGGCCTGGCTACTTTTTAATATCATTATCCAAAATAATTGCATGAATTCATATTGAAATTTTATAAGATTCAGTACAGTGAAAATACAATGATTCAGTCATATTCTAATCATTTTTTTAACAGTTTGCTGTTTAATTTTTACTTTGATCGTGAAATGTATCACACTACAAAAAAGATTTTGAGAACAAAATAAAGAACTTCTAGATGTACACTGTCAAATTAATATACAGAAGCCACTGTGTAATCTATTTTTGATCCCCCCTCTAGTTTAATGTTTAACATTCTTATGCATGTTTACTCTTTTAACTATCTTTGTGTGTTTCTGTAAAAATGCAGGGTATATCTGGTGTGGTGGCACATACTGGTAATCCCAGCAGCTTGGAGGCTGAGGCAGGAGGACCACAAGTTTGAGGCTAGCCTCAACAGTTTAGTGAGACCCTGACTCAAAATAAAAAATAAAAAGGTCTTTGGATATAGCTCATTGATAGAGTGCCTCTGGGTTCAATTCCCAACTACCCCCCCACCACCAAATAAAAATATAAATGTTTTGAATATTTTAAAACTTTAGGGAAAATATTCATATATTACTTATACTTCTGGTAATGTAAAATATTATAGATACTTTGAAACACCATTTGCCATATCCTTAAAAAATTAAATAATTAACCATATGACCCAGCAGGGCTGTGTCAAAGAGAATGGAACATATGCCCACACAAGAACTTATACATGAATGTTCATAGCAGCAGTATTATTTATTTATATTAGCCAAAAAGTTTAAAAGAAAAAGCAAACCAAGGTGTTCATAAACTGTTGATTGGATGAATAAAATGTGCTATATCTATTCAATGGAATATTATGCAACAATAAAAGAAATATTGATACATGATACAACATGTATGAACTTTGAAAATATGCTATAAAACAAGCCTGTTACACAAGAATATACATGATACATGGTTTTCTTTTCTTTTTCTTTGTGGTGCTGGGGATTGAACCCATGGCCTTGTGCATGTGATGCGAGCATTCTGCCAACTGAGCTATATCCCCAGCCCCCGATACATAATTTTCTTCATGTGAAAAGTCCCAAATAGGTGAATGTGTAGGGACGGAAAGTTGATATGGAAGAGAATGAACACTGACTGCCAGTGGGTGCAGATTTTTTTTGGGGGGGGGGTGATGAAATGTTTTATAATTATTAGTGATGGTTGCACAAATCTGTGTACTGAAAACATTGAACTGTACACTTTAAATGTGTGGATTGTATTGGTATGTGAGTTAAAGCTGTTTTTAAAAGTTCACGTGAATGTTAGAAATTCTTCAGTGATTAACTTTTTTTGACTTCTCATTATAAGCTAATGCTATTTATTATGAGCCCAAGCAAGTCATTGTATTGTGATATTCATGCATTTTTGCACATTTCATTTTGCATATCATTTTTACATTCCATTGCATGACTTTACTGTATTTCATTAATCTGTTTTGTTTTGCTATTGAAAATGATTCAGTGAACAGTTTAATAAATATTTCCTTATGATGATACATTTTTAAAGCTTTCTCCCAATTTAGAATTTGACAGGAATATTGATGATGCATAATTTATTTAGTTGTTTAGGAGGCATTTTACTATCAGTAAAATATACCATACCTGAGAATATTTAATTATATAATTCTAAAATTGAAGTTAGTAGAAGTACTTTATCTTCTGAAGTTTTTCTGTAGTTTTTTTTTTCTTGGCAAGAGAAGAGGTAGGGCTTCTTAACTATTGTGCCTTTATTGGTTTTTAGTGTTTTGTAACACAAAATTATACACTAATTATCATGTATGTTAATATATCTTAGAAAAAGCCACAAATGAGTACAACACCACGGAAGATTGGAGTCTTATTATGGACATATGTGACAAAGTTGGAACCACTCCTAATGGGTAAGATACTCAGTAAACATTTAGGAGCTTAATTAACCTGTGTATCTTCATGATGCAACTTTGAAAGTGAATCGAGGTTTTAGTTTTAACAAAATTATTTAACTTAACTGTTATTGAAACTGTTTAATTTTGAGAGATAAAGTAGAGAGAGCCAGTAGGCTGGGTTTATGAGATTAACCTTATCCTGAAAGAGCAAATGGAAAAGAGTTCAACTGAAAATTTGAGCTATGTTGGCATAGGTAATTAAAGGTTTGACACAATAGGGACACATGTTATAAAAATGAATAGATTAGTTACTGGGGGAATTTCCCTATACTTAGACATATATGAGAGTCTTTCCATAGTAAAAAGGTAAATAGGTCTTTTGATGAAAAAGGTGAATGTAAGAAAAGAATGCTGCTGGGCGTGGTAGCCCACGCTTGTAATCCTAGTGATTCAAAAGACTGAGGCAGGAGGATTGCAAGTTTGATCCCAGCCTCAGCAATTTAGCAAGACTCTCAGTAATCTAGGGAGACTCTGCCTCAAAATAAAAAATAAGAAGGACTGGGGATGTAACTTGGTGGCAAAACACCCCTGGGTTCAGTTCCCCAGTACCAAAAAAACTCCAAAATTTAGAGTGCTTTTCAGGAAGGTATGGTAATTATGCACAGCTGATTATACACTAAAAGTGTAGAAATTGTGAAAGCATTTTTTTTAACATTAAACTCTTTTAATTTTTTTTTTCTTTTTTGTAGTACTGAGGGCTCACATATACTAGAAAGTGCTGTAATGCTAAGCTACTCCCCCAGCCCTTTTTAAATTATATTTTAGGACAGGGTCTTAACCAAGTTGCTCATCTGGCTACAAACTTATGATCTTTCTGCCTTCTGAGTAAATTCCAGGTGTACACCACTGTGCCTGACAACAATATTCAGCTTTTTCATGTGAACCTTTTAAGAATGTACATTGGCACTGGGGATGTGGCTCAAGCGGTAGGCTCGCCTGGCATGCGTGCAGCCCGGGTTCGATCCTCAGCACCACATACAAACAAAGATGTTGTGTCCGCCGAAAACTAAAATATAAATATTAAAATTCTCTCTCTCTCTCTCTGTCTCTCTTTAAAAAAAAAAAAGAATGTACATTGTACTAATTCTTTTCAAGAGAAGAACTTGCTGTTTGAAAGCTCTTTGTCTTGAAGAAATGAAGAGAGAATTAGTATGATATGGTTCTCTTGTGTTGACTGACATTTTTTGGAATGATTTGTCTCTTGATTTGGGGCTATATAATGTTTACAACAATTTTTTTTTTTTAAGATCTACAAGTTTGTTAGCAAAAGATTGTGTAAAATCATAAATTTATAGACTTATTCCTTAACAAAGTAAAGTTACTGGGATTTATTTTTAAAGTTATTTGCTTGAAAATTTCTTATATTTTTTAATGTTGGAGTTAAAATTGTCAAAAAATACTTTCTCCATTTTTTTCTTAGAGCAAAGGATTGCCTAAAAGCCATCATGAAAAGGGTAAATCATAAGGTTCCTCATGTTGCTCTGCAGGCATTAACTGTGAGTAAAAATCATGTTATTTGACTAAATTATGAAAATGACGTTTATTTCAATAAGGAAGATAATATTTCAACATTTATATATGAATTTTTATTTTAATTAATAGCTTCTTGGGGCTTGTGTGGCAAACTGTGGAAAGATATTTCATTTAGAAGTGTGTTCCCGTGATTTTGCAACAGAAGTACGTGCTGTGATAAAAAATAAGGTAAATTTTAAAAAGAGAAGAAATTTAAGTCATTAAAAATATATATGTTCGTTATTTTAATTATATATAATAATGTATTATAAATTTAAATAAATATTTTAGATAAATTGAAAAGAAGCTTCTTGTTAGAAATTTGATTTTAAAAAAATTTATAGCACTAAAATCTTTTTTCTCCCTAAGGAATTTATGTTGTTAATTTAGCTAATCTTTGAGATCTAGTAAGTAGTCACTGCTTTAACCATTTTGGATAGTGTGTCTTGTTTAATGTTCCTCACCACTTTTGGAAGTTAGATTCTCTTTTTCCAGTTTTATACATGCAGAAACTGAGGCTTAAAGGGAAGTAACTTTCTATGGTCATGTAGCTATTAAGTGGCAAGCCAAGATTTAGATCTAGGTTTCTGTGACTCTAGATTCCTACCTCTAACTACCATTCTATGTTGACTCCCATCAGCATTGGTGAGCAAAGGGGATCTTTGGAGGGGGCCCTCATAAGGTTGTTACCAATTTCTTTGAGACAGACACTTAGAAGCACCATTCTCATGTTTTTAGTGGTAAAAATCCCAGAAATTTAGTCAAGTTGATATAAAAATCATAATGTAATATAGAGAATGTTGAAGAAACATAGAGGGTATAGCCTTGGAATATGAGGGATTTATTAGTCATCCAAGACTTAGAAATTAATGTTCCAGAAAGGTGATTTTACATGGAACAACTCTATCTTACAGTCTAAACAGGCATCTATCAATTATTCACACCAGGTATTGCCAGATTTTTGTTGATGTTCATATAATTAAAGAGAATTTTGGTGAGAATTCTGTTAGTTAAATAATTTTGGTATTTATTGTAACTACAGTGGGTTTTTCACCCCCTCCCCCTTTCTTTAAAAGGCTCATCCTAAAGTATGTGAAAAACTGAAATCTTTAATGGTGGAATGGTCAGAAGAATTTCAGAAGGATCCCCAGTTTAGTCTCATATCTGCAACTATTAAGTCTATGAAAGAAGAAGGAATTACTTTTCCTTCGGCAGGTTCTCAGGTGAGAGATTCATTCAGATTCATGATTGGCCTATACTAGTTTGAAGTATTAATTTTGTATGAAAGATTATAGGCAAGAGATGTCTTTTTAAAAATTTTTAAAAATATTTTTAGTTGTAGATGGACACAATACCTTTATTTTGTTTATTTAGTTTTTTTTTTATGTGCTGCTAGAGATTGAACCCAGTACCTCATGCATGCTAGGCAAGTGCTGTAACACTGAGCCACAACCCCAGCCCTAGGCAAGGGATGCCTTGATCATCATTTCCCACCTCCATTCTTGAAGTGACAATCTAACATAGTGCCTTACATTTAGTAGACATTCTAATTGTTCAGTGTTTTTCCTCTATATTGGAACTTTGGAAAGTGGATCTATAAAATTAGAAATTTTGGCATGGGGGAGCTAGGGAATAGTAGGATGGCGGGAAGAGGAGACAGGAATAATGACTCATGGAGTGGGCTAGTTCTTCAAGTTTGTGGGAAACCATTGTCTGAGTGCTTTGCTGTCAGTGTCTTTTTTCCCTCCAGTTAATATTAAGCTGTGGGCTAGAGAAAGAAACTAAGGAGGAGAATACTATATTTTCTTTTGTTTTAGATTTTAAGAGACAAAGCAGCTTTAGGTTTAGCCGCTTAGACCTAAAGATACAGGGTTGAGTTTTGAGACAGATACCTTATAAGTAATAAAAAGCAACTGTTGTGCCCTTTCTATATATTGTTCTCAAAAATTGGTGTTAAAGAACTAGTTAATAGTACTGGGGAGGTGGCTCAGTGGTAGAATGCTTGCCTAGCACTGGGAAAAAAGAAAACTGATTGGTGGTTCATAGTCCTGGATATCTGTCTTTACATGCCATTAAATTTAAGCATTACCTTCTTTATTCTGCTATAGTGGAAAGCCACCATCATCAACTAGTTGAAGAGGACTTCAGATGTATTCCTAGAACTGTACCTGTTTTCTCTGTCCCCTTCAGTATTTATGACTTCTTGTTGGTATCTCTTCTGTAGCTCTATGCCAATAGCAGTAGAGCACCTCTCATTGAAGAAGAGATCTCAGTTGAAATCAGGAAGTGTAATCAGGAAAGACTCACATTTATTCATTCTATAAATTTTTAAGTACTTTCTTTATGCCAAGTTCTGTGTTATATACCAAAAAAAAGTAAGCCAGTGTGTGCCCTTTGTGCACTTATAATTTTTTTCTTGAAAACTCTGATGTTTTAGTATTTGAAAACAGTTACTTAAAATTGTCATAAAGTGCTTGACTTTTAAATGAAACTCAAGTTATATCAGTATTTTTTAAAATTAGCATTTGCAAGTAATTATAGTGCTTGTGTTTCCTTTGAAAAGATACTTACATTCATTTTACTCATACATTTACAGACTGTATCAGCTGCTGCCAAGAATGGAACATCATTGAACAAAAACAAAGAAGATGAAGACATAGCTAAAGGTAAAATGATCAAGCATGTATAATTTAGCATCAATTAAAATATCCTCACCTGAAAATTTTAATGAAATAAAAATTATAATAAAACTAGGTGTGCTTTTAGTTGAGGTAGCTCAAATATAAAAATCAGTAGGGTCTTAAGTAAAGGGGAAAAAAATGACAGGATGGATTTAATTCATTTTCCTTTTCAGTAATTTGTATTTAATGTCCTACCTTTGGAGAGATTACATTTCACCTTTTCTGTAATGCCAAAGTTATGAGTCAAACACAGAAATATGTTCACGGTTTGTCCTATATGGAAAGTTACCCATATTATAATGTCACAATCTGTTTGCTATAAAAATAATAGCTGCTGTATATGACAGACTGTGATAATAAGGAATGAGCAAAAACTATTTTAAAAATGTCGTGTTTCCCTGCCCCACAGAAAATTAACTGTTTAGCATTTAATTGGGCAAATAAAATATTCATTTGATTTATTGTTAACTATCTTATCTGATATTTCTTTTTAAACTTTTTTAAAAATCAGAATTAATCCTTGCTATCTTATGTTTTCTTTTTTTGCATTTTAATTTTTCAAACCAGCTATTGAATTATCTTTGCAAGAGCAGAAACTACAACACACAGAGACAAAATCTTTATATCCATCTGCAGAAATTCAGTTAAATAATAAGGTTGCACGAAAAGTGAGAGCTTTATACGATTTTGAAGCTGTTGAGGACAATGAACTCACCTTTAAACATGGTGAAATCATTATTGTTTTGGATGACAGGTATGTTTTAAATATTTATCTATGGAATTTTCTGAAGTTTTGAAGCACAGTGTTCTTAACTGAGAATCCTGAATATTCAGTTTCTTGATTTTTGGTGTATTTAAATCATAACAGAACATTTTCAACACCTTGCTTTTTTTTTTTTTTTTAGGTAAATGTTAGACAAGATGTTAGTTTCTTGTTTTGTTGTTAAATTTACTAGTAAAGTATTCTTTATCTCTTATATGAATGATGTGTTGATATTGTTGACTAGCACAGTTAAGAAATGAATATTCAGTCATCTGAATGCATTTGCCTTGGTATTTGTATATTACAAAATTATTGGCAGCAAATCTTTGGGAAGAAATATTACTGCATTATCTTGATCAAAGCAACCACAAGCTATGCTTGGCTCCTCCTCATTCCTTAAATCTACTACTCTTCCCTCCTTATAGGTTCTCTGTAGTTTAAAAGTGTAAGAAAAAAATAGATCGATCTATATTGAGCCTAATTCTTTTTTTTTTTTTTTTTACTTTTAAAAGAAATTGATGAAGTTGGGCACAGTGATGCACACCTATAATCCCAGTAATTCAGGAGCCTGAGGTAGGAGGATAGAAAGTTCAAAGCCAACCTCAGCAACTTAGTGATGCCCTGTCTCAAAATAATAAAAAGGGTGCTGGGGATGCAACTCAGTGGTTAAATGTTTCTGGGTTCAATCCCAGTACCAAAAAAAAAAAAAGAAAGAAAGAAAGAAATTGATGAATTTAGCAAGTGTGAGACCTGACAGCTTGTTGCTATGAACAGAGATTGCAAATGTATTTCTTAACTGTTATAAATAATTCAGTCAGAATATACTAGTCTAGTATATTTTTAAATGAGTAGATACATAATGGTTTTACTTTGTTGCAGTTAATATTTGAGAAAATGTTATGTTGTAGACTCTTTAATAGGAAACGAATGGGGACTTAGTTCTATTTTCATCAAACCTAGAAAAAAATGGGAATTAAAATTACTATACACAGTTGTATGTAAGGCAAAATGTGATGAATACCATAAAAGGGATACCGTTGGATACTGGAAGAGAGCAGATTTATACTTGGTGCAGGTATCCAGGGAGATGGCTTATCCAGGGGCTCCATTTCAGATGAACCCTGATTGATTTTGAAAAGAAAGGAAAATTTTGCAAGAAATTGAGAACAGGAAAGGGAAGGCCTCATAGGCAGTCAAGGTAGGTAGCACTGTGTTTAGTGAGAAAATAATCTTTTTGCCATCAAATTTGTTTTAAAATAATTATTTGAATTGCAGCACATGATCCCTGAAGGGGAATAAATAGAAATAAAGAGGTGACATGTTCTAAACACTTATAGTCTTTAGGTGCCCATCTTCTCAGTATGTTTAAGTTAGAATAGTTACCAAAGAACTAGGTTTACACATTGATACTTTTATATAACTATAAAATTTAAGACATTTATACATAGAAACAAAACTATAAAATGAATACTTTTTCTGTTTTAAATTTAGAACATTATGTGTACGTAATAAAATTTCTTAAACTGCTGTTTCCAAAGTAAATATAGTACTGCTTAATAGCACAGATATTTTAGCAGATCTGTACTGCCCTGTCCTATGTAATAATCGGTTCTTTTTTTTTTTTTTTTTCTGTTGAAACTGCTAGGAGTCTTTCATACAGTTTCGGGTGATATTATTTGGCTTTTCTGTGGCATTATATCCCTATTGTAGTCTACTGACCTCCATCAAATAGAGGGGGGTTACATTATTATTCTACACCATTTCTTTTTCACGGACGTCCATTTAAAGCACGAACTTATTAAATAACTTAGACTAATATAATTTTCAGTTGTCTTGTTACTGCAAAAAAGAACTCTTGTAACTGCTAAGAGAATTAAACATGAGGATGATGGAATAGATAGGCGGATTGCTGTCATTTTTATAATAGGATACCCCAGTCTTACAGTTGCCATAGGAATGCTTACTAGTAAATTTGGGTTAAATGTTGTCATTTTATGTGATTGATAATCACTAGCAAAATTCTAAACATAAATGCAGATTGGATGGTACTATTAAATGTCATTCTTCAGTTAAAAAGAAGTCATCCAGATGATCCAGAAAATGATTCTCTTCATTGTTTTTAGATTGCTATGGAGTTGAAAACATAAAATTTTCACATGCAGAACTTCAAGTCCCTTGAAAGTTTATCACTCTTGAGTCTCATTTTAAGAAATACTCAGTTGATTTTAAAAGGCACATATTTCTTATTAACAGAAAGTATACCAAAAAAACCCTTTAATTTTCTACATTTTTAACTGTAACTCATTGCTCCTGTTTTGTTCTTTATGTAAGCATTTCAAATAATCAAGTGGAATTATTGCAGTATGAAAAATGCCATGTTCTGATTAGACCTCTTGTACATTTGGTTCTCTGCCTGGAATGCCCTGTCAAAGAAGACAAAAGCATTTAGAAAAGAAAAAGAAGTTTACTAGCAAGGGAGGTTTGCAAAGGAGTCCAAGTTTTACAAGAATTGGCTCCTCATATTAAAAAATACAAAAGGTATTTTAAGGAAAAGACTCCCCAGAAGATTACCAGGGTTTCTAGGTTTCTAGCTTTCTATTTGTATGTTTGAGGTAAAAATAACAGTTTTTTTCGCATGATTTTATCCATAAAGGACATAACTGACCTTTATTTATTGCCATTGCAAAACCCTATAGATGAGTTGTTTTCATTAAGTCAATGGCTTATGGGAGAGTGTCAAGTTTTCTCCTTCCTTCCTTCTTTCCTTTCCTTCCTCTTTCCTAAAACTAGATAAGATATCCTTGCATTTTTTTCTTTTGGTTAAGAATGCAAAATTTTTGTTTCTTCATATTTTCTTGTTTATCTGTGTCAGCAGCAGACAGATGCCATTTTTATTTCCATATTCCATAGCCTTAATTTTCTTTTCCTTTTTTTTTTTTTTTTTGTATTGGGTATCAAATTCAGGTGCACTTGGCCACTAAGCCATGTCCCCAGCCCTATTTTGTATTTTATTTAGAGACAAAAATCTCACTGCGTTGCTTAGTACTTCACTTTTACTGAAGCTGGATTTAAACTCAGAATTCTCCTGCCTCAGTCTCAAAAGCTGTTGGGATTACAGGTGTGTGCTACCTTGTCCAGCTTTCTTTTCCTTTTGATGAGTAACTACTTAAATCTTCAAAACCTACCCATGTCAGACTATCTTTTCTGAGAAACCTTTAAATCCTTCCCACTTTTAGCTTCCAGTAGAGTTAGGAGTTTCCTTCTCTGTGCTGCTGTAGCTCTCTGAACATATATAACAATATTTCTCATACTGTATTTTAAGTATGTGTTTTACATATCTCTCCTACTTAATCAGTTGATTGAAGAAGTGACCCCCTTCTTTGGCTGGGAGGAGGGAGCAGGAGAAAGTAAAGTAAATAACACTCTTAGTTGGTAGGAGAAGTTGAAACACTGGATTTTAAATTTCTTGAGGGCAGAAATAATGTTTTAATTATCTTTGCAACTTCATTGCTTAGCCAGAAAGCACTGTTTAGTCCTTGATAGAATTTCATTAATATTAACTGAATAATCAATTAATTGAACGTAAAGTTTATTCCTTATACTTACATTATTTTTTGCTTAGTTTTGATTTATTCTTCCCTAATACAGAAAGCTCCAAATGTAAATGACACATTTGAAAATTTCCTTAATCATCTAATGATTTATATGAAATTATAGTACTGAATCACTTTAATTTAGGAATTTAAACTTGAACAATATTTTGTGCCATTAACATTTTATAAAATAAACTCGTAGTCAGTGGAAAGAATATAGAGCCAGATAAAGATTGGAAAGGAATCATCATGCTTTGAGGTGGTTTTTGGTTGTTTTATGTGCTTTTATGCCTCATCAGAGAGTTTGTGGTAGTAGTTGGGAAGAAAGTTGTGATACATTATTAGGACTACTGGTAAGGCTGTCCATACAATTGTTGATAGGTTCAAATAAATCCCATGTATCCATTTCAGAAGTGTGAATTGTCTGGTTTTATCTTTAAAATCCTCTTAAGTTTAGTTTTACTTTTTAGAATGCAAAGCTCAAAGTTTTGATTCCTAAAACCACACACACAATAAAAGATTGTTACTTACAAATACCTGTTTAGTAAGAAACAGGTATTGGGTATTTGTAAATAACAAATTTCTTTGTTAGAAAGAAATAGACAAAATTATTGTTATTTTCAGATACTTTGAATAGAAAGTTCAGTCAATGGGTTGAGTTGTTTTCATTAAAGTCAGTAGCTTATGGGAAAGTGTCAAGTTTTCTCCTTCCTTCCTTCCTTTCCTTCCTCTTTCCTAAAACTGGTAAGAGTTTATCAAGTTTGTTAGATACAACCTCAGTATGCAAAAATCAGTGATATGCTTTAATCCCAATTAGAAAATGTAATAGAAAAGTCATTCTCGATAGTTAAAAAAAAAAAAAAAATCAAATGAATGAACTAGGAATGAATAAACCTAAAAAATATGTAAAGTCTTTATGGAGAAATTATAAAATTCTTGGAAAGATAGAAAAGAATATAAGTATTCTTTATTATGTTTATATTTATAAAAGTACAATTGGAGAGAGACATGGTAAACCTTAATATTAGAAAGATTTAGTTTTTCTTATGTTATTGCATAAATTTAGTACATATGCAGTTAAAATTCCTATAGAAATTTTTTCCAGAGTCCTTGAAAAATATTTTAATATAGATATAAACATGTGAAGATGTATAATAAATGAAAAAGAATAACAAGAGTATTTCCCTTGCCAGATATCAAGGTGTATTAATAGGCTTTAATAAACAAATATATAGTAGTTCCCTCTTATGAGGGATATGTTGCAAGCCTCCTCCAGTGGATGCTTGAAACAGGATGGTACTGAACCTTGTATATACTGTGTTTTTTCCTATACATACATTCTTACGAAAAAGTTTAACTTATAAATAAGGCATTGTAAGAGACTGAAAACAATACTAAAATACAACAATTAAAACAAAGTTATAAAAGTAATAAAAATTATGTGAATATGGTCTCTCCAAATATCATATTGTATTATAGATCTTAGCAACCTCAGCATATAATTTTCTTCCTTTGCTTACTTAGAAGGTCAAGAACTTTGGCTGGTGATGTAGCTCAATGGTACAGTGCTTGCCTAGCATGAATTAGTCTCCAGCACTGGGGGAAAAAAAAAAAGAGCCACTTTTCACTTAAAGGATGCTTCTTTGTGACTTATTTGAATTGTACTAGCAGTACCATTCTTGTGCTTTGGGTCCATTATTTAATGAAATAAAGATTATTTGAACATGTACTATGGAACATAGCAGTCAATTTGATAACCAAGACAGTTGCTAAGTTTTAACATCAGGGTAGCATATGTAGTGTGGATATGCTAGACAAAGGAATGGCTGACTTTTCAGGGCAGGATGGTGCACCTGAAAAACCTATGAATTTTAAAAACCTATGAATTATCTGCTTCTGGAATTTTCCATCTAATATTTTTGGGTCATGATTGACCTCAAGTAATCTGGAATCACAGACCAACCCTGCAAATAAAGGAGGGACTACTTTGTGGACTATTATACAACAGAATGGAATACAGAAATAGGCTCATACACAGAAAGCTATTTTGATAGTATGCTGTTTTTGTATCATAAGTTAGTAGAAAAAAAGTAATGGGCTATTCAGTAAGTTTTGCTGGAATGAATGACTCTTCTTTTGGTACAAAGAAGATAAAATTTGAGCTTCACACAGTACCTAAAATTTTGTTTCAGATAAAGGTGGGAAAGGGGTTAAAAAAAAGCCTAAAACTATTAGATAAAAAACTAAAACTATTAGATATTGGTTCAAGGGTAGATTACTAAATTTTATTACAGGGGGAAAAAAACCCACCATAGAATAAAGAACCATAAACATATACTTAAAGGAAATGATAGCCTTGAGAAGAAATCAGCTTGATTCAGAGAAATAGTTGCTATCCAGGATATGTAAGGAACCCTTACAGATCCATGAAAAAAAGATAACCCTGTGGAAGAAGAAAAATGGACAAAATATATAAATAAAAACATTTTACAGAAGAAGCCATCTCAAATAGTCACCAAACACAAGTGGAAATAAGTACAATGGAATATGATTTTCTCTCCTGATAGCAAGTGTAAACTTAAATATTTACCATATATGGGATTGGGGGGACAGTAATGGGAGGAAGAAGGTAAACTTCCACAACTACTATGGGGAACATTTGACAATGACTAATAAAATTGAAAATGCTTATATCTCATGGCCCAGCAAGTCCATTGTTGTCATTTTGTTTTGTATTTTGTTTTAAAGATACAGTCTCACTGTGTTGCTCAGGCTGGCCTCAAATTCCTGGGCTCAGGCTGTCTTCCACCTCTGCCTCTCCAGTAGTTGAGCACGAAAGGTGGACCCTATTATGTATGCCCAGCTTGCAAATCCATGCTTCAGTAAGCCTAGAAAAACTGTCGGATTGTGCCCTCTAATTCAGGATAATCATGACCCCAATCTTTATGTTGAAAGACTAGGAACAAATAAATGTGCATTTATACAGAAATACAGCATGTTCTTATAATCAAACTTTAAAATAAATAAGCAAGTATTAGTATATAAAATTAAAAAGATCTATAAGCATTAGCTAGCTGTCTTCTATGTCAGTTGAGTGTAAATATATGCAAAAGAATGAAAAATAGACTGTCAGGAAGTTACATACCAGCTTTATGTTGATGGTGTGGTAAGAAGGATGTGAGGTTGGGACTTAGGGTCACTGATAGAGAGAACTTTATTGTTATCTGTGTTTTATGTTTTTTAAAAAGCCCAGTATGATATATGGCCAATTGCTAATTAGTTCTAAATTTAGAAATAAGGATATGTATTTTTTTTTATTTGTACCTTTTAATATCTTTTAAAAAGAACAACTTTTAAGTATAGCTGAATGTGAATTGATTTTCAAAATAGGATAAATTTGATTTTTTTTTTAATCTCTCAACATTACAGTTTGAAAATGTTAAAGAAAAATGACATTTTTTTTCATTTTATTTTCAGTGATGCCAATTGGTGGAAAGGAGAAAATCACAGAGGAATAGGTCTTTTCCCATCTAATTTTGTAACAACTAATTTAAACATGGAGTCTGAGGCAGGTAAGTTAAATTTTAGAGAAGATTAAATCTACAAAGTTGTTTTGCTTAAATTTTTTGATTGGCATCTAATTTGTTTTCTGTCATTTATTTATAGACATTATAATTTAACCTACTTCTTTAGGGATTAATTTAGACTCTTCTCATATTTTAAATCTCTGAGACTTAATATATTTAGTGACCATGTACATAAATATTTAAATCAACCTATAGTATAAGAGGCAGTTTGGTGTCTGTCCTTTACAAAGAATGTTGTTATTCTTTACTGAGACATAGTGAAAGGGATAACTGGGGGCGTAAGGGGGCATACCTTGTTGACAAGAGCCAAGTGTGATTACAAGAGTTAGATTTTAGACTTTACCTCACCTCAGTTTGATCCTAGAAAACTCAGGCAAGAATAAAGTAATGTAATGAAGTCACTGAAGTTCCCCAGTTCAGTTCTTCTGAACACCACTCCATTCTGTAGCCACACACTGGTCCCCCTCAGCCACTGTCAGCCATGTTGAGAAAGCATGCCATTTGTTATACAGGCAGGGAGGCAGGAGATCTCAGTTATTCAGAACAGCTCGTAATAATGCTAATTGTGATACCTAGAAGTAAAATAGTTAACAGATTTTGAACAGTAATTATTTTATCAACATTGTGCTAAATCTTTTGTGCTGTTTCACTTAATTCTAAAGATTCTGGGTGATACATTGTGTGTTGCCCTGTTTACTGATAGGAATCTGAAGCAGAGGTGTAACGTGTCTAATAACTGATAGAGCCAGAATTCAAAACTTGACTTACTAAGGGATATATCAGTGCTTATCCTTACCAGTTCTAAAGAAAGAACTTAAAATGAAAGCTTTGTACATTGTGTGTACTATTATCTTTTTGTGTAGAGTGATGCATTCAGAAAAATCAAGTTCTGAGAGGTGGATATTCATTCATTTGAAGACTGGGTTCTTTGCCACTAGTTACTGTTTTATTCTTCTAGTCTGACTCTTTTTAGTAAACAGGAATATTGAACATTTTTTTAAATTAGATCTTTATAGTTATACATAGTAGTTGGATTTGAGGACATTTTTTAATTAAACAATACTTAAGGGATCCTATATAGTGATTTCCCCTTATCATGATCTGGAGAGATTGAACTACAATCTTGAAAGTAAAACACATTCTTGGTTTTCAGTATGTCCTTGTGTTATGCTGAGCTCTGTTCTTTAGGACATAATTGAAAGTTTGCCAGATACTTGAATTAAGCAATAACCATTAATTAAGATTTTAAAATCCTTTGGTTACACACATTTTTTGTTTGTGTTTGTGTGGTACTGGGGATTGAAGCCAGAACTTTATACATGCTGGACAAATGCTCTTCACTGAGCTACATCTCCAGTCCTTTTATTATATTTTTTTAAAATATTTTTTTAGTTGTCAATGGATCTTTTATCTATCTATATATTTATCTATTTATTTTTATGTAGTGCTAAGGATCGAACCCAGGGCCTCACACATACCAGGCAAGCACTCTACCACTGAGCCACAACTCCAGCCCTATTTTATTTTGAGACAGGGTTTCACTAAGTTGCCCAGACTGGCCCCAACAGTCTTCTGAGTAGCTGGGATTATAGGCCTGTGCCACCATGCCCAGTTGGTTATACAGATTTTTGTTGTAATTTTTTGTTTTATTAAAATTTAGAATATTCTGGCAACTTCCTTCCTTCCTTCCCTCCTTCCAATTGAATTCAGGGGCACTTTACCACTGAGCTAAGTCCCTGACCCTTTTTATCTTTTTAAAAATATTGATTATTTTTAAATTTATCTGTCTGTTTACTACTTTTGGGTACCAGGGATTGAACTTGGGGGCACTCAACCACTGAGCCACATCCCAAGCCTGATTCTGTATTTTATTTAGAGGTAGAGTCTCTTGAAGTTGCTTAGCACCTCACCATTGCTGAGGCTGGTTTTGAACTTGCGATCCTCCTGCCTCAGCCTCCTGAGCCATTGGGATTATAGGCGGGCGCAGTGGTGTTCCTGGCCCCCCTTTTTTAAAAAAATATTTATTTTTTAGTCATAGGTGGATATAATATTTTATTTTTTTATGTGGTGCTAAGGATCAAACCTAGTGCCTCACACATGCTAGGTGAGCGCTCTACCTCTGAGCCACAACCCCAGCACTCCTGGCCTTTTTTAAAAACTTTTTTAAAACAGGGCCTTGCAATCCTCCTGCCTCAGTCTCCCTAGTTGCTGTGATTACAAGCATGCACCACCATGCCTGGCTTGTAAATTATCTTTTATCTGTCTTTTTATGAAAGAATATTTTGTTGAACTGGGAATGCAGTTTAGTGGTAAAGTGCTGACCTAGTGTGCACAAGGCCCTGGGGTTGGAACCTAGCACCACACACACAAAAAATATTTTTTCATTTTGTGTTGTTTCAACTATTATCAGAGTATCAAAATTAGGTTAAAATCAGGTCTTGTTTTGTTTATATAGGAAAAAACAGTTTTTCTTTGATAGAGGGGCACTATAGATGTAACTATGAAATTAAGTATTAGGATAATAATCTACTCTCTTGTTTATTTAGTTACCCCATTGGTAACACTCAGTTTTTAGGAAAACACACACTAATAATGCTTATTTGCTTCCCTTAATGTAAGTTCCATAAGTACAGGATTCTTGTCTATTTTATCTACTATGTGTAAATGCCTAAAGTGATGCTTGGCACATAATAAGTGCTAAATTAATATTTATAATATGAATGTATATAATCACATTATGATATGAACATAAGTAATAACATTGATTATGAAATGGGATAACTAAAGAATTTTTAATTTTTTTATTATGGATATCATAGGCCACTTCTAAATTAATGACTAGATATCAAAGTAAATGCTATAGAACAAAGTTTACTTTGTTTCCATTGCAGCTGTGGACAAATTGAATGTAATTGATGATGATGTGGAGGAAATTAAGAAATCAGAGCCCGAGCCTATTTATATTGATGAGGTAGAGTCCTTCTTTTGTTTTAATAGTTAAACTATCAAGACTTTTCAATTGTATTATCTTTGAGATTGCTTGGGAAGAGTAATTTTGTATTCACTGAAGTTAAAACTTCTTTGACTTTTTATTAGGATAAGATGGATAGAGCCCTGCAGGTACTCCAAAGTATAGATCCAGCAGATTCAAAACCAGATTCCCAAGACCTTTTGGATTTGGAAGGTACTTAGTGAATATTGAGATTACTTTAATAATGTTTATTATTTTAGCTACTCATAATATTATGAGTTTCTTCTGCCTTGAGATTAGAAATCCAAGGTGGAGAACAGACTAGTGCAGTAAAATAGTAAAAGTATCATTTGAAAGATGTTGCTGTTCCTTCATATCCTTTTTAAGAAGGAGATCTTGGTATTTCTGTAAGCCCATTGGTGAAATTGGAGTTTTGGTGTCCAAAGGACAGAATTAGAAATAAAAGCCTATTAAATTAATTTAACCAAAAAGTTTAAAAGTCTTAATTTAAAGGTGACTCTAAAGGTCCACATGTGCATGTTCAATGTTAACTTTGAAAGGTAGATATTTGATGCATGCTAATGTGTCCTTTAGTTTGTAAGTAAAGCAATTAAAACAAATTTTTTTTCATGCTTTTCTAAAGTCTTTTGTGAGAAAAATGTCTATAATAAATGAATAAATCTTAAATCTTTTTATAGATGAAAAACTGATTATGGGTATAGAATATTTTATCTGTGTTTAGATTTGGAAATATATAAAATTTTTAAATTTTGAAATGCCTTAAATAAAAGTGTTCATTTTTAATCTGCACATGGTAGTTACATATTTTATATTATAGCTTAAGTTTGTTTTATGTAGTTAATTTGTTTTCTAGATAACTTTTGGGGATGATTTCAAATGTCATAGTCTGTAAACTTAGTTAATAGGAACATGATGAGATTTTTATTTTAATTTTGATCTTGCCTTTGATTACATGATAGAAATATGTAATAGCATTGGTGCTGAATAGTATTAACAGTCAATCTTTTATAGTCCCTTTTCTAGCAAAAAGTTAATTCTCAGTGTATTATGGATGGTGTTGTATTTTTAAAAATTGTTGAAATTGGCTTAAACTGAAATTCTTACAGTTTTAAGCATTTTTGTATTTACAGATATCTGTCAACAGATGGGTCCAATGATAGATGAAAAACTTGAAGAGATTGATAGGTGAGATTTTTCATGCAAACAATGATAAGTAGAGTTTTTATAGGTTTACTTGTTTGGGCACGCTTAGAACTAGTGATAGTTTTGGGCAAACTGTATTATCTGTTGCAATTATTTTATAGACTCCAGAAGCTAATAGCAAGGAGGTGCTTTTCATTTTGGTAACAGTTTTTTTCATGGCAGTATGAATAGTATACATAAAATCCTGGACTCTTGTTCTTATCATTCCATTTTTTTACTTGGGCTGGAATTGAGGGGATATTGAGCAATGAAGAATAAAGTGAATAAAGAACAAGATGAACAGGAATCTTAGGCAAATATCATTAATATCATTATGTGAAACGTAGTTTCAAGTGAAATTTTCCTGATTTGGGAAGCTAATCCAAAGCAACAATTTTTTTCTTCTTTTTCTCTTCCTATGTTCCTGTGTTTCTGTTGTCCTTCTAATTTTGTTATCCCAGCTAGTTTTACTGTTCCTAGAAATAGCAGCAGCACTGGAGGATGGGCTATCAGAGTTGTAAGCTTTTAACTTGGTTCTGATATCTGTTATTCTTCCGAGTTTTCTCTCTGAAGTTAGAGGAAGAAGCTATAGTAGAGGAAAGGCAGGAGATTAGACCTTCTTATTCTATTGTCATCCTTTCTAGCCCTACACAAGCTAAGTGAACGGGCTACTGCTGAATTATATCTCTAGCCTTAGCCTCTCTTTATTGAAATGCTATGTAAACAACACAAGAAGAAAGGGATCAAGTGGGACCAAAGTGTGAAGGAGAACAGAAAGTACTTTACTTTTTTCCTGTCTCTACAGAGAAGTACCTTCAGCAAGGCTTTCCAGTCACTAAAAATTATAATCTTTGTTCCATGGAGCATTTTTCATAAATCTTTTGTGTTTTCTACAAAAGTTAAAAATAAATCCCTGTGACAGTTAATGACATGATGGTGACAGTTTCATCATATTTTTAGAGAAAGCAGTAAATATGTATTGCTTTGTTTCACTGCAAGGAGTTAATGGTTAGTGTATAATCAAATTGGAAAAGATTTAAAAGAAAAATGGTCAGCATGAAGTAGGTATGACTAGCAGTACAGTTACAAACTTTTCTGGAGCCTAAAAATAATTCACATCACCTTAAGAGAGAATTTTGGATAAACATGAAAACAACTCCAAAAATGTTTAGATAGGTAAGAGATATCTATTATCTGAACTGTTCTAAACTTGTACTATACTTCTGAAGTAATTTCTGTAGCCCTGATCTAGATGCTTCTTCATTCTTTTCCTGTGTATTCCATGTGTTACTTTTGTCTGCCTTTATTCACTAGTATTTCAGTTTGGTCTGTCCATCCTTCCTCAGGGGATATCTTTAGTCCCAGCTTTACCATAAAGCCTTTTTGGTCTACCGTAGCCCAGAATAAACTCTTCTAAATTCTTCTGTTTTCTACCTATTTCATGTAATTTTGCATTCAGTTATATGTTATGTCATTTGCTATTTTCTTAACCTGGTCTCCCTGATAGGTTGTGATTTATTTTCTGCTTTTTCTCTTTCTTTCAGTATAGTTTTGAGTATAGTTTAGTAAAAATTTGTTATTGATTCGAAGTTATATATCTCAGATCTTTAAAGGTGATTTCATACACACCTAATTTCTGTAGATTTAGGTGGTTTGTCACAGATACATCTGAAAGTAGTTTTTATACATTCATGCAACAGGAAACAAGCACTTTCTGTTTTTGTTGTTCAGAGGTAAATAGTATTATAAAGGAAAGGGCTTATAAATTTTGATAGAGCACAGACAGATCATTTACTTGGTTACTCTGTATCTTTTTGCCTGCCTGTGCCTCCTACCTTTTTCGGTTACATTGAAAGAACCACATCCAATAAACAGGCTTTTGGATGCTTTAAGCCAGATAAAAAGTGGCCATTTGACTTAAACTTGGAAATTGCAAAAAAAAAAAAAAAGTTGTTTATTATTCCCAAGGGAACAGACAAAATTGTACCAAGTCAGAAGGGAAGGATTTGCTGTGGAGTTCCTTGAACAAATGTGAAAATGCTCTTATTTGGATTTGTTATTTCACAATAAGGTGCCTGGTTTCACCTAATTTCTCAAAATCAACCAATAGATAAGAACAGTAGAGATCTCCATGCATATACATTGCTTTTATTTGTATTTTCAAGAGTAATTTTTTATTTAAATAATTTTTTCAGTTGATCTTTTTACCATATAAGCAAATAAAGGTGATTTTTATTTTTTAAATAAGAGTTTGCTCTCATTTTAGTCATATTGTACTTCACAGGGGCTGTGGGTCTTTATAATTCCCTCCACTCAGGAACTTTTTCTTTATAATTAAATTTTCAACATAAACCTGTAATATATTAAACTAAATTCTTCTAGTACCAGAATTATGAATTGATTGCATTTTATGATATGTGGAAAGGATATTATGAAGTTATATTAGCCTGGCTACTACAAGAATTAAATAATTTTTCTTCCCGGTTTCTCATTGTGAATATTCTTTCATTGTATATGAAAAGAACCTTTTAAAATATGAATAAAGAGTGTGCTAAATTTAAAAAATAATTTACATTGCTAAATATATACCTAAAATGAGAAGAGTATGAAAATACTTTTCTCTTCTGTATCAGGAAGCATTCAGAATTGTCTGAATTGAATGTAAAAGTCCTGGAAGCTCTGGAACTATATAACAAATTGGTGAATGAAGCACCAGTATATTCAGTCTATTCAAAACTCCATCCTCCAGCACATTATCCATCTACATCAGCTGGGGTTCCAGTGCAGGTGAGCATGTTTTCTGAGAACATGGTTTTGAATTTAAAAAAATGTTTTGAAATATTGAAATTTCTGTGGTCCCTGAATAAAATTATAAAACCAGTCTTTGTTTCTAGAAATATTGGCTGAACATTAATGTTCACCAGGACAAATTAGTTACTGATAATGTCACAAAAACACTTAGTTCAATTTTATCATGAATGAAAACAGTATTAAATATATAGGGGGAATTCTGGTTCTTCATGTGCTTTTGTAAGAATAAAACATAAAAATCTTTAAATATAAATCCTTTGTAAGTATAAACTACACATCCTTTGATTTAGGATCTGGTGTACCAAAGGTTCTCTGCGTGAGGTACTAGTGCTGTTGTTGCTATTCAGCAAGAAGATTGAACATTTCTTTAAAAATCTTTTTTCAAGATTTCTTTGACGTATAATTATAACAGCACTTAGTTAATGAACTTTTGGTCTCAGAACATATTTATTTTTTGTTAGTGCATGACTTAAATTGTTAAAAAATTCATGCATAATAAAAATATGATACAGTTCTATGAGATGTAGGTGCCATAAGCTATCTGTAAACAGCATCTTTTTGCAATACTTCTCACTCTTTTTTGTGCTTGCCAGATAACATGAATACTTATATCAGTATCCCCATTCTGAAGGCTTTTTCAAATTTTAGCTAGTTAACCAATCAAAATGATCTTGAATGAACAAATTTTATGTTAATTTATGAAAACTAGTATGTAAAAGAGTGTGTGAAGGAGATGTTTGGGATAGCAGTGAAGTCAACTTTTTCTTTTTGGTTAATAGACATATCCAGTTCAATCACATGGTGGAAACTACGTAGGTCAAAACATTCACCAAGTAACTGTTGCCCAAAACTACAGCCTGGGAACAGATCATATTGGTTCGCTGAGATCTCTGCCTCCAAGTGTAAATTCCTCAGTAACAACACAGCCTGCTCAAACTCCATATTTAAGGTAAGTTTTGAGAGCCATCTTAATTTTCCACAGACTTTTAAAATCAGAATATACTGACCCTACACTTTGTAATAATAGTTCCAATTTTTACTTTTAAAATGAAATCATAATGTGGGTGTGGTGGTGCATACTGTAATCCCAGCTAGTTGGGAGGCTGAGTCAGGAGGATCACAAGTTCAAGGCCAGCCTGGGCAACTTAAGGAGACCCTGTATCAAAACGGGCTGAGGATATAGCTCAATGATAGTGCTCTCCTAGGTTCAATCCCTAGTACCATACACGCACACACATAAAATTATATAGAAATGCCCATTCATAGTCCCATGAACTGAAATGTTGCTACCCTTAACTTTGCTACTCATACTGTGATGGTTGCCTAGATATAAGCCTACAGTTTAGTTCCCTAGAACAAAATAAAGCTAACTGTCCTTTGTGAGGACTAAGCCTTTGTTGTGCTTTAGCACTGTACTATAATCCACCTAGTGAAATAGTCCCAGTGCTGTGTTGGAAAATGGGGAAGGGAGAATATGGGCTGGAAAATATACATTGAACCAACTCTGTCCTCATTGGAGTTGGCCACAGTCAGAACAGCATCTTCTCAGTTTTTAAATGTTTTTGGTGAGAGATTTTCAAGAAAGCAAATTAAATAAGATTTATACTTTTATATTATCTTGCTTTTTGAGCACTCTTCTCTTCTTACCAAATATAAAAATTATATACAGTATTTGGTAGTTGGAGTGATTAAATTATAACCAGAACAGCAGAGCTACATAAAGATTGAAAAGTCAATTTTTGTCATGATGATTGATCCTGACCATAATCTAGATAATGTAAAGTAAATATGATTTTCTTCTTTAAATTTTGTTTGTAGCACTGGACAAGACACTATTTCCAGTCCTCCTTATATGAACCAGAACTCTAACCTTCAGTCAGCTACTGGTACAGCTGCTTACTCACAGCAGATGGGGATGTCTGTGGATATGTCATCTTACCAGAACACTACTTCCAATATGCCGCATCTGGCAGGCTTTCCCATGGCAGTCCCAGCTCAGTCGGTTGCACAGCGGCAAACAAACTATCAGCAACCTCTCCTTTAGAGAAAAACCAAGCATTTTCGTGGAAACCTTCATAAGTGTCACTTGTGATTCTAATCTGAAAATATTAAAAGGAAACTTTTTCCTTCTGAACTCAAAAGGACAATGAGTAAATAAAAGCACAAAACCTAACTTACTCTAAAGGCCATAAAAGTTTTTTTCAGACCAGTTTGTTTGAAGTCAGAGGCAGCTTAAAGATGCTCCCAGTTAGTTTTGTCATACTTTCAAATGTCTTTCTGTGAATCTGGACACCCAATAAGTAGCTTTATGACACTAAACAGTATGAGATAAAAGTGTAAAAATTTTACTTTAAAGAAACCATTGTTACCATTGTTTATCCGCAAAATGTCTTAATGAGAGAATTGAAGACCTTTAAATATTTTTTGTCTGCATTTTTTTTTTTTTTTTTTTACCATTTCCCACACACTGTTGTATTAAAAGGCGAGGGAACATCTTTTTTTGTATAAGCATTTCGTTTGCCAACATGCTTCCTTTTGGCTCCTTAAATTGCAGTTGTGTTTGCAGTACTGTCAGTTTTGCTCTCAGTGTTATGTTGAGTAATAATTAGCATATAATTGTCTACAGAAACAAGAGCGATTTGGAAGGAACAAAAATGTTTTCTGTTATTAATAGGAAAAACCATGTAAATGCAGATGTGTGAGAAAGCACTTAGCCATTTCCCTGCTCATGCCCATAGTGGGCTAAAGAATTTCCATTCCCTGAGGAAAAACATTTTCTTCTCTACAAGCATCTTTATATTTAAAATTGTCACTAATGACCTTATCAAATCACTTTGGTCATTGTCTAATGCAATATGATCCATTTATTTTACTTCCTGTGTTGTGATATGCAGAGATTCTGCGTTTCTTTTTTATGGATTATACCTGACTTTGAGCCATGAGACATACCTAATAATTTGATGTGATATAAACCAAGCATGGATGATGAGTGAGTTTTTATTGAAGTCTTGTTATTGTAAAAGAAGTGATTCAAATACCACTGCTAAGATGTCATCGTGCCAAGCTATTGAAAAATATCATCTTTACTTTCACAAGTAATTCTGAACCTTTGGAATAATAGCAGGTGATGATTTGATAGAACAATGGATTGATAGACAGTTCAGTCAGTTTTTCTGAAGCCCATGTTTTAAAAATTAGTTTATAGCTAATAGATTCCACATACTGTAGAAGTTGGTAGAAAACCAATAAGGATTTTTTTCTCTCTTCAAAATTTGCACACTACTTTATTATCTACCAACTTTTTACATAGTATAATATTGAAAATGCATATACTTATAGATAAATGATATTTAGACTGGAAAAATAATGGACATAAGTTGAATATTTAAAAAGTTAAAACTTTTTTGCATGGATTCTAGATTTCTATATTGGTTTTTTAAAGAAAATAATCTTTCTACTAAGAATCCATTTGAAAACAGACTAAAAATTTTGTCATTTATCTATTTACAGTAATTTTATTGTAAGGATGTACCTTTTTCGAAGATACTTTGTTCCAGAACAAAATACTGTATATAATACTTGGTCTACATTTTAAAAGGAAAACAAGCAGTATTTGAAAACTTAGTTTTTGTTGTATTATTTCTAATCAGGTATCAAAAGAAAGTTTTAACCTTCCACACCATTTTTACTTTTTCATTTAGTATTTTCCTTTCAGATAAATTCAGCTATATACTTATAAAAAATATTCTAAAATGGCACCTTCCTTTTTTTTAATTGCTTTTTTTAGTTGTAGATGGATACAATATCTTTATTTTGTTTATTTATTTTTTTATGTAGTGCTGAGGATCAAACCCAGTACCTCACACATGCTAGGCGAGTGCTGTACCAGTGAGCCATAACCCCAGCCCCTAAAATGGCACCTTACTTTTTAGAAACAAATTATTTGTTCTTTAAGAAAGAAAACAAAATGTAAAAAACATCCAAAGCTGCTTTTGGTAATTCAAGTTAGTATTTGCATATATATAGAGAAAAAATTTTACATTTTTCTTCCAAACTGTATTTAATAAATTAATTTTAATGTGTAAATATACTATATTTAATTGTGTCAAATTGGAAAAGTTTAGTTCATCATAAGCCTTTGAGCCAGTATAAATACTGCACACCCACTAAATTGGAATTGACCAATTCAGCTAATGTAGATTTGGAATAATAAAATATATGACATGTATATAAATGGTGTATATTGGCATTAATCTGTGAACTTTTATATATGTAAAAATTTATTCCTCTTAAAAATAATTTTATTTTTGCCATTATAAGGAGTTTTGTGTTGCAGGTTGATAGTATAAAAATTATGTTAAATTTGAATTGACCTGACTCTTACTATTAATAAGAATGGCAAGGTTGTTCTTTTCTTTCCATAATTTTATGGATTATATTTATTTTAAGACATTTATAACTAAATGTTTTTGCCAAAGGAATGGTCTAACTTGAGATTTCTACATTGGGTTCACACTTACTGTTTTAATATCAAAAATTTTAAAAATAATTTCTTTTTCATATGAAATCTTAGTACCTTAGAAGGAATTCCTGCAAATTTATAATGGAATTGATTTTAATGTAGAAAAATGCCACTGGTATTAAAATACATGAAGTGTGGGATATGTTCATATAGTTTGAAAAATGTACAGCCAACCAATATTGCCTAATTTGTGGAACTTTATGTAGAAAATTACCTGAACATTAAATAATTATATAATATCATTCATTTGAAATTATTTACAGGTACATTGTCATTTTGTACTATTTTGAGTGGAGATCCTTTCTCAAAATAAAATACAAAGGTCTGGGGTAGTAGTTCAGTGGTAGAATGCCCCTAGGTTCAATCCCTAGTACTGCAAAAATAAAAATAAATAAATAAATAAATAAATAATGTGGTTGGGTTGGAGATGTAGCTCAGTGGTAGAGCATGTGCACATCCCTGAGATTGATCGCCAGTGCTATAAATAAATAAATAGGCTTGTGAATTAAAAAAAAATTATATATATATATATATATATATATTAGGGTTTCTTGAATTCCAGGAGAGGATCTATTGAATTGTCAATATTATGAGAAAGCTGAAGTTATTTTTAAAAATTTTAAATTATAAATGACATAGCACTGATTTATCATTTGTTTATATCAAAAGGTAGTTTTATTTACATCAGTTTCAGTAAGTAAAAGGAGGACTCATTTAATTTTTATTTGATTTAGTTTTCTTTTGAAGATTCAAAGTTTATTTTAAAAAATTTTCCCCAGAGATGAAATTATTCTAATTTTATCAAGCTAAATTTGAATTTGGAAGTTTTTTTTTTTTTTTAAACTTACTGGGTCTAAAAGAAATATGCTGCTGCTTACATAGTATAAAAAAATGAATAGTAGCCCTCTCAGATTTATGTCTACCTGGAATGTCAGAATATAACCTTATTTGGAAACAGTCTGTGTAGATGCAGTTAGTTAAGGATCTTGGGTAGAAATCATTCTGGATTTAGAGTGGGCTCTAAATCCAATGCTGAGGTCCTTAAGAGAAGACCCAGTGAACAAGGTCATGTGAAATGGGGGCAGAAGTTGCAACTATGCTGCCACAAAGCAAGGACTGACTAAGATCACCAGAGTATGCAAGAGGGAAAGGATTCTTCCCTAGAGCCTGCAGAAGGAACATGGCCTACCTAGCACTTCAATTTCAGACTCCTGGTCTTCAGAACTGTGAGAAAATAAACTTTGACCATTAAGCCTCCAAGTGTATGGTACTTTGTTACGCAATCTTAGGAGACTAACACACATGGCTAAAAATGTGCAAAGAATTCTGAGTATCAAACACGTGGAACTTGTAGTTTGCCTAAAATCAGCCCAAGAGTTCTGAGAAAAATATATAGTCTAGTAACAGGTTCTTTTTTGTTGTTGTTGTTGTTTGTTTTTTGGTACCAGGGATTAAACTCAGGGGCATTCAACCACTGAGCCACATCCCCAGCCATTTTTTAAAAATATATTTTAGTTGTCAGTGGATCTTTATTTATATGTGGTTCTGAGAATCGAACCCAGTGCCTCACACATACTAGGCAAGTGCTCTGCCACTGAGCCACAACGCCACCCCACACCCAGCCATTTTTTTCTCACTGAGTTGCTTAAAGCCTTGCTTTTGCTGAGGCTGGCTTTGAACTTGCAGTCCTCCTGCCTCAGCCTCCCGAACTGCTGGGATTACAGGTGTCCGCCACCACACCTAGCCAGTAGCATTCTTTTGATTTTTGCTAAAACAATGAAATTGCTTGGATAGATGAAGCTAAGACTCCTGTAAATTCCATAATTCCATTTTACTGTTTTTGTTTTTTATTTTTGATACCAGGGATTGAACTCAAGGGCACTCAACCATTGAGCCACATCCCCACTCTATTTTAAATTTTATTTTGATATAGGGTCTCACTGAGTTGCTTAGGCCTTCCCTAAGTTGCTGAAGGTGGCTTTGAACTTGTGATCCTCTTGCCTCGGCCTGCTGAGCTGCTGAGATTACAGGTGTATGCCACTGCATCCTGCTCCATTTTACGGATTCTTAATCCCATGCCTACATTTCAGGAATATATTTCTTTGTGCTAGAAGTGTTTATGAGGTTACAATTTTTTTTCCCATTTACTGTCCACTCCTCTGCCCCTCTTGATTAATGGATATTTAATGATGGGGAAAATCTTAAAAGGTGAACAGAAAAACAGATAAGAAAAAAAAATTGGTTGAATATTCCCCTACAAAGAATGAAGATTTGGTTTTGTTCTTATTTATACCATTTACTATTCTAATGGGGAAAATAAAGGCTTTCCAATACTTTCAAAGCAGGAAAGTGATCTTTACTGATTACATTTTGGTCTACATAACAAAATTAACCACTTTAAAGTAAACAATTTCATGGCTTTTATAATTCTGTACAATTGTCACCTCTAGTTCAAAAACTAGACCTTTTTGTGTCTGGATTCTTTGACTTTAATGACGTCTTGTACTTAGCATAATGTTTTTGCTGTTCATTTCTATTATAGTGTGTTTACTAGGATTTTATTTCTTTTCATGGCATAGTAATATCCATTTTACGTATATACCACAGTTTATCTGTTCACCTATTGATGAATATTTGAGCTATTTCTACTTTTTGACTATTGTGAACAGTACTATGAATATGTAGATTTGAGTAACAATTTCCAGTTCTTTTGGATATATACCTAAAAATGAAAGTGCTGAATCATATATTAATCCTACATATGACCTTTTGAGGAACTGCTGAATTTTTCCTCAGCTGAACCATTTTACATTTCTGTTAATAATTAACGAGAGTTCCACTTTCTTCACCTTCTTTTGCCATACATCACTGTGAGATGGGTGGGGTCCCAAATGGTTTACTGGGTAGAAAATGCCTTCAGATATGAGAATAGTAATGCATGGAAGAGCAAAATAGTGGATATATCTATTTAATTTGTACATTATAGTGCAATTAGCTCTGTCACACAGGTAGATTGGGGAATCCAGAGCTTGTTGAGATAAATAGATGGGCTCATTCTGAGAATTGATGTGGCTCTCATACAGATTGAGTTAAACATTGCAGCAATGGAAACGAGAAAGCTTCCAGTGTACAGTTTTACAAGCAGAAAAGAGCTAAATTCAGGGTTGCTGTGAGGAAGAAGTAGGTGACATCAAGATCAGAGTAGTGGAGTTGAAGACTTGTGGACTGGGAGCCCAGGCAAAACCTGGTTTCTGCATGAGCCAAGATTGCTGAGAAAAAGTCCAGCCTGAGCTCCAGGTTCTGTTATATTTTGGATGAGGGCCAAATGCTTTAGAATCAACATACATTATGTATTGGGGATTGAACCCAGGGCCTCATGCATGCTGGACAAACATCCTACCTCTGAACCTTCTTGCCATACTTCTTGGCAATCTTTCTAACCTCTTCTACTCTCACATATGCTA